CATTGAGGAAAAACGCTTGGAGGGGACCGAGATCCAAGAACAGAGAAAAGGAAGGGGAAAGCAACGACGGCGAAGAAAAGGAAGACAGCTTGCTAGCAAAGGGAAAGAGTGAGCAGCGAGGAGCAGTCAGGAGCGCGAGCAGAGAGCACTTGGCGGCGGCGGCTGCAGCGCTCCGCTCCGCCGTAAACTCCGCACCGGATTTTATGGACGTTCGGCGGCGCGGGGCCCTTTGGAAATAGAATAGCCAATGTAATCTGACACTTCAACTTGCTCGGCTCCGGGCGAGTTGATTCACTTACTCACCCCCAACGCCGAGTTCCTTTTCACTGTCTGTGGACATTAAAAAAGCCAGCGGCGGCAGCGGGCGCCTGGGAGAGCCTGCGGCCGGGCGAGCCAGCAGCGATCAGGCGAGCTAGTTAGCAGCGCCGGCGCAGCGCGGGGACCCCAGCCCCGGCCGACGCGGAGCAGGAGCCAGAGCCCCGAGCCCAGTCAAAGCGGAGCCGATCGGGGCGCCCTCCCTGCGCTGCTCCGGGCCCGGGTCGGCCCTGCCCGCTGGCGGCAGCGACGGCGGCGGCCGCAGCGGTGCGTCCTCCAGCGGTGGCGACGGCTCTGGCGGTGCCCGGTAAGTTTGGGGACAGAGCTGGGCTTTCCGCTGGCCCTGGCGCTTCCTCCATCTTCTCGCGGACTCCGGGGGCGAGCGTGGGCGCCGAGTGCTGGGGTTTTTCCCTTGTACGCCGTGGCCCTGGAAGGAGGCGGAAGGTTGGCGACAGGGGCTCAGCTGAGCTCTCCGCGGCGGCCGGGGACCGAGGCCCGTGCGGTCGGGAAACCCTGAGCGGCGCGGATCCCGCAGGGGCTGCGCGGGGCCGGGGCTCGGGGTGTGTGTGTCGGGCGTGAGTGCGGTAGTGCGCGCGCGGAACTGGTGCCCGCCTCCTGCCCGCGCGCCTCCAGCCCTCGCTCGGTCCACGGCGATCGGGCAGGAGCGAGGCTCCGGGGAGGGACGGGGCGCCCGGGAGAGAAGGACCGGGGCTGGCGGGGGCCAAGGAAGGACGCTAAGTTGTGCACCTGAGTGTACTCGGGAGCCGGCGGGCCAGGTGCGGGAAGATCCGGGCTGCCGAGGGTGGTGGTGGTAAGTTGTGCATCTGATTTCCCAGGAAACACACACTTTCGTAAATGGGAGGTGGGGCGCGGTTAAGTTGTTTGTGCGAGGGTTGCTGGCCTAGACCCGGCGCGCGGTACGAGCGGGGATCGTGGAGTAGTGTGTTCAGGGCTTCCAGGAGGTCTTTAGAAACCTGAGGGGCGTTAAAGCCAATGAATGCCTGGCGGGGCGCCCCGGGCCAGGAGGGGAGCGCCGAGGGAAGAGGAGCGCGGGCGCGCGGGCGTGTGCGTGTGCGCGCGCACGCGCGCGGGTTGCAAATACGAAAGTAATTTCCTCCTGTTCTTTCTTCCTTGCTGTCTCCGGCGGCGGCTGCGGCGGCGGCGGCCCCCGGGGAGTGGGAGGTCGGGGGGCCGGGCTCGGGCCGGGGCTGGAGCTGTGGTGGGGAGCGGGCTCTGGAAGCTGGTCTCACATTCCTGGTGTCTGGGGAGAAATCAGTGGGGAGCTCGGCCTCAGCGTCTGGGGCGCGGGCGCGGGTCGCCCCCTCGCCGGGGACATCTGTCCAGGAAGCGCCGGGGCGGAGAAAGGGCGCAGTGCCATAGGCAGAGGACCCACCCCGAAGCGGCGGGGG